TATAGAAGCAAAGTGTAAAAGAGAAAAAGAAATCAGAGGGATTAAACAAAACAGACAAAATCTCTGTTCAGAAAAAGAAAGTTCCGTACTAAATTCTGAAATATTGAAAACATAGGTCAGAGAATTTGTAATTCACAGCACCAGCTACAGGGAAGGAGCATGAATGTGAGTGGGAATAAAGGCAGGGAATTCAGGAAATCATTGTTTCTGGGTGAGGAGATAAATAGAGAAAAGGAGCTGCTCCTCAGAGACAAGGCAGTGAAAATCAGTAACTAAGGATCTTTCATATATGAAATCCTACTACAAATTAGGCCAACTCTTTCACCTCCCCACATTCCTCATCAACATGATTGATATCAACTGTTAGAGAAAAGGCACTCTTTTTTTTTTTCTAACAACTTTATTGAGATATAATTCACATAAATACAATCCCCCTTATTTAAAATGTGTAATTCAATGGTTTTCAGTATATTCACAATGTTGTGTGTCCATCACGATAATCAATTTTAAAACATTTTCGCCATCTCAAAAAGAAACCTGGTACCCCTTAGCAGTAACACGCCATTCCCACCATCCTCAGCCCCAGGAAAGCTCAACAACACAGTGTTTACTTCTCTGGTGTTTATTTTCTTTTTGCGTCATATATTCCAGTTTTGGACTTAAGAGGCTGGCAACCCAGAAATGTCAATGGGAACAAAAAAAAAAAAAAATCTCTCCCAAAAAGCATCCTTTCCCTACCCAAAGAAGCATGAAGGGGCAGCCTACTAAGACATAAAACTTTTAGACAATAAGCACTTTACTCCAAGGAAACATCACATAAAAAAATAAGTATGAATCCAGTCTCATTTATACCAGTAATGCTGAGAGGGAGTCTAGGGTTTTCAACACTCATGAGATAGTAAGGAGGCAACCAAGACCCCCTAAGATGATGCTGGAGGAGATCAAGAAGCCAGAGCATCCACCCCCGCTGTCTAATAAGGAGTCCTGACCCCCTCACAAGGTCAGTGGAGACCACAGGGGTTGCCTGATCTCCTACTCCAACCAGCAATTAAAAGATACGTCTTTGCCCTCCCCAATGGGGTGATATTGAGGAAGCCTGTTGGAGAGTCCCCTGGTGGGGTAGTGGTTAAGTGCTACAGCTGCTAACCAAAAGGTCGGCAGTTTAAATCCACCAGGCGCTCCTTAGAAACTCTATGGGGCAGTTCTACTCCGTCTCATAGGGTCACTATGAGTCGGAATCACTTGATGGCAACAGGTTTGGTTTTTTGTTTTGTTTTTTTTTTGGCTGGAGAGTCAGGCCTTTCACCATCACCCAGGGGCAACAAGACCACTCCCACTGCAGTGTAAATGGAGACAACATGCGGAGCCAGAACTCCCACCTCTGCTCAACAAGCACTAGGAGTCCCTCATCCTCAGTGTTAATAGGGGTGAAATGGGGAACCTGCATACTATCTCCACTTGGTAATAATGAGGCAGCACCCCTCCCACTTTCCTTGCCAGAGTCATGTCAGAGAAAGCCAGCTAAAACAGAAGATTTAAATAAGAACCAGAATTACATAAAGTCCAAGTTTCAATAAAAAGTCACTCATCATACCAATAACCAGGAAGATCTCAAACTGAATGAGAAGAAACAAATAGATGTCAACACCAAGATGGCAGGGATGTTAGAATTATCTTATCAAGACCGTAAAGAGCAACAGTGAACACTCTTGAAACAACGAAAACATCGAGAACCTCAGCAAAGAGAAATTCTCAGCAAAGAAATAGAAGGTGAAAAGAAGACTGAAATGGCAATTTTAGAAGTTAAAAATACAGCTTAAAAAAACTGCAGCTCAAAAAATTGTGGGACTGTAAGAAAGATCTAACCTTGACAGCATTGGGGTACTGGAAGGGGAGGAGAGAGAAGTTGGGCTGAAAAAGAACTCGAAGAAATAATGATTGAAATTCCAAAACCTGGCAAGAGACATAACCCTACAGACACAAAACGTGGAGGGAACCCCAAACAAGACAAAGCCAAAGAAATCCATGCCAAGACACATCATAATTAAACTTCTGAAAACTAAATACAAAGAAAAATCTTGAAAGCATCCAGAGGAAAAAGCATACCTTACCAATAAAGAGAAACAATTCTAATGACAGTGGATTTTCCATCAGACTCTATGGATGCCAGAAGGAAGGGACACAATAGTTTTTGAGTGTTGAAAGAATAGAACTGTCAACACACAATCGTATACACAGCAAATACATCCTTCAGGATTGAAGGAGAAATCAAGACTTTCTCAGATAAAGAAAACTAAGAGAATTTGTCTCCAGCAGATGTATCTTATAAGAGTGGCTTCACAGCAAAGCAAATGACAATGGGCAGATGGCCAAGGGATTCACTGGTCCCAACACTTACTCTATTACTCAGAAATTGCAGGGCTGATATAACAGTGGAATGGCCACTTAAACACACAGAGTTAAGGTGCTAGATGGTTGATAACACCCTACAGAATTGGAACGCTCTCCTCCAAGTATATACCTCGATAGTAGGTATATACTTACCTGATAGGTAGAATACTTGAATCCATCCCTGTCCATACCAAGGGCTGAGAGGGCCATAGCCCGTCTTCTGCTTCCCAGAGCTCCATTCCCCGGGAGGAAGGATGCAGAAGGTATCAGAACCAGCCCCAGGGGATGTCTAACATGAATGCGCACACTATCTATTGCACTGCCGAGCAACGACCAGGTATGGGTATGTGCACCTCCCAAGGTCCTCCAGAATGTTTGGGAACTGTAATAATGAAAAAGTTTATGGAACTATGGCTAACTGATGTGTTTGGACAGCTGTAGTATTCATGTGGTCCCAGGGGTTTGACTTTCATATGTAATATCCTTTTAGTAAGGGGGACATTCCTAACTAAACTATTCTTGCCTTAAACAATAAAATATCTTTTCCTCTGGCTCCCTCAGAAACAGGAATACACAGGAAACACCACCCATCTACCATCTCAGGAGAACAATGGTGGTTGGGCTCTTCACATCTCTACAGGGAGCACGCTGGTGCAAGTGAGACCTATTATCTTATGCCCTGCACAGAGCCCTCAGGACAATTGGGAAGACGCCCTGTGGAGATGATGAATTCATAAAACCCTCCCTTCTCAAAGAAGCATGAAGAACAAGACCTTCCTTGGCAATTCTCAGATGAGCAGCAGGCTTCCAGTTCATCAGGAAATTCAGCCACACTGTCGAAACGTTTGCCTCTTCGGCATGAAGTTTCATCGTGGCCCTTATGCAACAATCACCTCTAGACCCCAGGTTTCCCAATTGTCTTTGTGAGTTTTGGTGGTCAAATCTATTTTAGCGTCATTGATTTTATTGCCTCTGAGTTTTTTCTGTCACAGTTCATGTCATGCTAAGGTACAGTTTTACTTTCTTTTAATGCTCAAATTCTGCTCTTTGATTGTTTTAGCTACTAGTATAATCTGAATAAAACTTATCAATGGCTATTTTTCAGTGACTCATTTTTAAAGTGAAGAAATATGTGTTTACAAGGACTTTCTGGGAAATGTTTAGTATTAAACAAACAAAATGGCTACCACTTAGTTATAAAACACTGGGCTTAAGCTGACACATGAAGTTAGAATTCAGATGTTTAGATCTATAAAGAGGAATTTCCAGAGTCCTGTGGGTAAATGTACCAGTGCTTATTTATAGCTTATGTGCAGTCTTGTGAGGCCAAACAGTCTGAGCTCTGAGATTATCTCAATGATATCTCTACCCTCAGAACAACAGTAGCTACATACTAGGAAATCCATAAACACCTGTAAATCATTTTATTTCCACCAGCTTGGACATGACACAGCATTGGAACAGTGATAGGAGAGTCCCAAAGCAAATGGGAAGATTGTTTAAGATTTTTGCAATCTTATAATTTTATGTATACTTAAACATGCATAAATTTATAATTTTATAAATTATATGCGTAATTTCATGTATATTTAAACTGAGGGTTATTGTCCATTCTTGCTATCTTCAAAACAAGATAAATTTGCATAAAAGCTGGGTTCAATTGAAGCAAGAAGGATAAGATCATGTTTGTACTTAGGTGTTAATTGTGGAGTCACAGAGATAGAAGGATGACTGAGTACAATCTCTCAGTGAATTCAGAAACCCCTCTGCACTGGTCCTCCCAGAAGTCATCCAGCTGCTGCTGGTCTGCAGAAAAGGTGCCCAAAGCTGTGCATCTCAGAGTGTGTCCCTCAATGCCATGTCAAAACCCAATAAAGTTATCCACCCTATTTCTCTCTGTTTATTGATCCTACTTTGCCATTTTAACTAAACGACACATACAGACCTATTCATTCACATAAATAATCATCTAAATATTAATTGTGAAAAACTAGGTAAGAAAAAAAATGAGAAGATTTGAGGCTGAAAATAAGTCTTTAAACATGAACAAGAAGAGATTTCGTGAGCTGTTGTTGCAGCAGTGAGGATAGATGCAGGAGTAGGAAGTTTAGACAGCAGGTGAGAGGCAAATGCCGATGGAGGAAAAAAGTGCTCTCTGATTCTAACTCTCGAGTCTGTTATGGATTGAATTATGTCCCCCCAGTATATGTGTTGTAAATCCTAACCTCTGTGCCTGCGGTTATAATCCCATTTGGGAATAGGTTGTCTTTGTTATGTTAATGAGAGAGGATTAGTTTTAGGGTGTGTCTTGAGTCAATCCCTTTGAGATATAAAAAAGATTAGATAAGCAAACTGGTGAGCAGAGATGGGGCAAGATAGATGCCAAGACACATGGAGATCTCCAAGAAACCAGGAAGCAGAAGCAGAAGAGACGAGGACCTTCCTCCAGAGCCGACAGAGAGAGAAAGCCTTCCCCTAGAGCAGGCACCCTGAATCTGGACTTCTAGTCTACTAAACTGTAAGAAAATTAATTTCTGTTTGTTCAAGTCACCCACCTGCGGTATTTCTGTTACAGCAGCATTAGATAACTAAGACAGTGTCTGTTCGTCATGACACCTTCCAGCTCGAGAGTATCCCTCCTGCAGGGTTACATCATTTGCAGGTATATTAGTTAGGGTTCTTTTTTTTTTTAAATCAGAAAATAACTCTGATAAATATAAGCTAAGAAAAGCAAAATTTATTTGAAGGATGTGGAGTAACTCACTGAATCAAATAAAAATTGCATTTTTATTTGTATTAGACTAATGTGACAAAATATCTAATTTGAAAATTTAGTCTTTGTAAAAAACATTAACGTCATGGAATATTATGCAGCTGTAAAGAGAAATGAAGTTCTGATGCTTGCCCCAACAGGGATGAACCTGGAAAACATGGTGAGGGAATTAATTCAGTCACAAAGGGCAAATACTGAACCATCTCGCTTTAATGAAATAAGCAAATTTATAGAAACTAAAAATTATTAATGGTTACCAGGAATTGGAGGGAGAGGGATGAAGGAGGTTTTTCGGGGGGAGGAGGGAGGGCATTGAGTTTATGTTAATGGTGGCGGAATATTTTGGAAAAGGGTATCGACAATGGTGGCACAACATGGAAAATGTAAGCAATGTCATTGAATTGTAAATGTGGAGGTTGTTTCATTGGTCAACGTTTAGGTGTGTTTATTTTCACCAAAATAAAAAAATGAACAACAAAAACAAAAAGTACATATGTGTATATATGCATATATACTTTAATTATTTTTAAGGTTACTGAATCAAGTCTTCATTTATGAAAAAATACATCACATTCACTGCAGGTGTTTCTGAACACTTCCCTTCCCCCGCCCCCCCCCAAAAAAAAAATAACGAACAAGTTAACACAAGTTTGTTTTTAAACTCTTCTCTTAACCTTTTAACATTAACTCAATTTCCTCTTTCATAGGGACATAGGAGACAATGTGACATCCGTCACAGAGTTCCTTCTCCTGGGGTTTCCCCTCTGCCCAAGGGTTCAGATGCTCCTCTTTGGACTCCTCTGCCTGTTCTACGTCTTCACCCTGCTGGGGAACGGGGCCATCCTCGGGCTCATTTCTCTGGACCCCAGACTGCACATCCCCATGTACTTCTTCCTCTCCCACCTGGCCATCGTTGATATGTCTTATGCCTGCAACACGGTGCCCCAGATGCTGATGAACCTTCTGAGTCCCACCACACCCATCTCCTTTGCTGGCTGCATCACACAGACCTTCCTCTTTTTGACTTTCGCTCACACGGAATGTCTTCTCCTGGTGGTGATGTCCTATGATCGCTACATGGCCATCTGCCACCCTCTCCGGTACTCCACCATCATGAGCTGGAGGTTGTGTATCACCCTGGCAGTGACTTCCTGGATTTTAGGAGTCTTCCTGCCCCTGGTGCATCTAGTGTTACTTCTGCCACTGCCCTTCTGTGGACCCCAAGGAGTTAATCACTTTTTCTGTGAAATCATAGCTATTCTCGAACTTGCCTGTGCAGACACATTAATGAGATCATGGTCTTGGCTGGAGCAGTGTCTGTGTTGGTGGGACCCTTCTCCTCCATTGTCATGTCCTACATTCATATTCTATGTGCCATCCTGAGGATCCAGTCAGGTGAGGGGTGCCGGAAAGCCTTCTCTACCTGCTCCTCCCATCTCTGTGTGGTTGGACTCTTTTATGGCACAGCCATTATCATGTATGTTGGACCCAGATATGGTAACCCCAAGGAGCAGAAGAAGTATCTCCTCCTGTTCCACAGTCTTTTCAATCCCATGCTCAACCCACTGATCTATAGTCTAAGGAACAAAGAAGTGAAGAATGCCTTGAAGAGAGTGCTCAGGAGAGACAGAGCTTCATGAAAAGATAATAGCAGTATATTTGAAAGTGACCTATGAAGCTGTTATCTCCAGAGGTTGCAAACCCAAACCAGTGTCAGAATTAACTGGGACGCTTATTAAAATTAGAGATATCTCTGGCACCACCATCTGAACATTGATTCAGTAGATGTAAGATTAATTCTAGAAGTCTATGTCTTCAAGTATTATCAGTAGCAAATTGTGGTACAGTTGGTCCATGAACCAGGATTTGGGATCCATGGATCAGAAATACACTGTAATATCCTCTTCAAGCTATGTGCAATCTCATGTCGCCCAAAAAGTTTTTTTTTTTTTTTTTGAAACACTAGTCCCTCAAGCAGGCTTTATTTAAAATAAATCGGTTGGGAAATTACTGCATATTAGATGTCACATTTTAGGGCTCACAATTCATATTAGCATGATGACGCCTGTGAAACGTTCTTCCGTAGAGAAGAATTCCATTCAAACTTTTAAGCCAGTGGAAAGATTTGCAAAACTCAGTTTCTACATAGTGTGTGAGCTTTAAAAAGATCTCTCAACTGTTGTATTTAGAACATAGAGATGTGGGAGAAGTTCTATAAGAGAATGTTCACAGGAACAGAAACATAATGAATATCCTGGATGAAAAAGGAAATAAATAAAAGATAGAATGCCCAAGGGGTTAGTTGATCTTTGGGAGATTAGGGGGGAAAGAAGATAAGGGAAAATGCATGATATACTGTTCGTTGTTTATTCATTCAATGTCCAAACCTCAAAATGATAGCTTTACAAAGAGGAATTTCCTGACACTCTCTCTGTATAGAACTTTATATGCATGACTATAATCGCAAAAGAAAAAAAGCTAAGTGAGGTGTTCATGCGGTTGCAAAGATTTCCTCCTAGTAAAAGAACGTAAACACTCTTAAGTTATTTTGTGGCTAAATGCACAGGCAAGGTTTTATTTTTTGTTGTTTTTCTTCTACTTAGAAGAACAGAATACTGGTGTTTGTTTTGTTTTTAAAGTGGATAAAGTGAACTAATATCTTTACACATTGTACATTTGAAATGTTGTTTTGGATATCGCCACGGATCTATTACTTGAAATGCAATCAAACCTGAAGATAAGTAAAGCCCTTAAGCATAGTTATAGGAATGTTTTGATTATAGATTAAACCCTAGAGTAAATTGAAGGAAAAAGTTCTATTTAAGCCTCAGTTAAGGAGGTAAACACTGCCGAACAATTTTGACTTTTGGGGATCAGGAGAAACTATTCAATTGCACTGAAGTGTTTTATATTATTGAATAAATACCACTATTTCAATAAAGGGATAACAGTTCTCTTTTACTGGGCTAACGTTTAATTCTTAATAAAAGCTGATACTTAATTGAGTCAGTAAAACCATACTAACCTCTCCTATTTTACCATTTCTATGGGAATCCTGGCTGCTTAGATTATGAAATCACAATCTGAGTATCAGTGTTTATCTGACAGTGTGCTTCCTTATCAGGAGTCTGTAAAACCCGTTACCTTCCAGTTTGACTCACAGCAAGTCTATAGGACAGGGTAAAACTGCCCCAGAGTGTTTCCAAGGCTGTAAATCTTTACTGTAGCAGACTGCCGCCATCTTTCTCCTGCGGAGAGGCTGGTGGGTTCGAACCGCCGACGTTTCGGTTAGTAGTCTTAGTAGTCGAGCACTTAACCACTTGCGCCATGGGCTCTTTCAGGAGTCCATAAACAAACCCCTTGCGGTTGAGTAGATTCGGACTCATAGTGACGCTATAGGACAGAGTAGAACTGCCGACCTTTTGGTTAGCAGCTGTCGCTTTTAACCTCTACGCCACCAGAGTTTCCACTATAGGTACCAGGAAATACCTGGACAGTCTTCAGCAGCTGGACGGATCCCTCACTGTAAGCAGAGTTCTCTGCGCATTTGTGGTGTGGGAGGTCTGGAGGGGAGAATGACAAGGAAATCCCTAACATCAGCATACAAGACCTCATAAAATGTTAAGAATCACTGATATAATCATGAAAGTTTTTCTTTTTTAGTCTGAGCATTGCAAAACGAGTCCTGTTAAAAGAAGAAGAAAGAAAAGTTTGAAAGGGCAGACCACCAACCTCTCTTGATGAGACCTTTAGGGGCATAAGTTCTGCTCATCAGCTCTGTAGGTCCAGAAAGTAACTTCTGTCTGTTCACCTGAATTCACTGGGGTGGAGACAACTGATTGACCCTCACAAAACTCTGAAGATAAGCTTGGTTAACCCAGATGCCAATTTCAGTCTTTATAATGAAGAGAAAAGAGAATATTTACCATTATCTAAGCTGCTCTAGGATTCTTTTTAAAAAATCTGAGGAATGAATAAAAAATAAGAATATGGTTCAAGGACCCCAAAATCAGAGCAAATAGGAGTTGAATAATACTGAAGGACACCTCTTCAAGACTAGAAAAATCCTACAAAATACGTCACACAACTCTAGGAATCAGAACACAGCTGTCAGTCACATGAAGTTTCAATGTCTTGGGCTGTGCTGCGTGGCTCTAAGGAAGTCAGCCTCTTTACTTCCCCGTTTTTCAAGATTCCAAGTGACGCATTGACCTTTTAACACGTAATCACACAATATTGATACAATTAACAATGTTTACAGTGGTTATTTTCCATCAATGACATGACTGTGGTGACTTTCTGAAGAAATATTCCCTCTTGAGTTGGATGTTTATTTCATCTTTAAAAGCCAACATTTTGCAAACCATTTCTGAAAATAATTTAGTTTGGGAGGTATTTAACTCCATCCTTATGTTAAACTTTACTTATTCTACTTTCAAATGGAAATCTTGCCCGAATTCTGGAGGAATTTACTGTAACAATAAGAATTATAAATACAAGTTGACATAAGATCAGAGATTAGAGAAAATGTCTAATACTGGCAGAAAATGTAAATATTTGAAAATATGTTTATTGTAATTAAGAACTGTCTGTTGTGTTCTGTTGTTTTAAAAATATATTTATACTCTGTATACATTCATATTTTATTTTGACCGCTTTTAGAAGTTGTCTACAAGTTAAATGCTCTGTCAGCTTAATATGTAGTAAAAAACGTAATTTTGAGGTGATGCAGTTTCCTGAATTTAAGTTCGTTTGGCATCATAAAAGTTTATATTTAATTTCTGATTGTCTTAGTTCACATATTTTTATTTGTATATCTTAAAGTGACTCTTGATAATTTATGGTCATACGGTGTTGAATAGAGAAAACCATATCCTAAAACTATTGTTTTCATAGTATTTCAATTGACTGCTAAATTTTTCTCTTCTATGTCTGTTCCCTGATTTCCACATTTCTGCAGATCAGCTGGAGCATAAAAAGACAAGGAAAGAAGAAGGATTGCAGTATTTTTGGATGGCCTACTATATGATCAAAAGCCATTTTTTTGTGTCACTAAATGTGTGTTTCTTCCCAGAGTGGAAGCGTGTGTCCTCAAAACTGGGGCTGTCCTAGATTCCCCCAGTTTCACCCTGTGCAGGAAAAAAATTAGTAACAGACATCGTACTTTGATTTTAAGTGATTTTCTTACTCATGAAACCAAAAACTAACCATAAACAAGCCTGACCCAAACTGCAAAAATATTGACTTGTTTCTTATACCAGAAACTGCTCTGCAACATTGTAAATTTGTCTTTTCCAGCTAGAATAGAGTAGTCAATAACAAAACCATTACCTCATGATTTAATGAAAAGACCGTAGGCTTCCTTCACTTAAATTTCAATAGGTCTCATAGCAACCAATGGTTAAAAGACCAAATTTTTAGGAGCTACTTTTTAATGTTAACACAGTAACCATTAAGTACGTGGTCACCATGAATACTTAATCTTGTATTCATTAAGAAAAGAAATATTTAAGCTTCAGGAAAATCTCCGATCCTCAGGAGTTCTTCTTCTTCTTCAATTTCTTCATGTAGGAAGGCACAAGAGCTCCTCCAATTTGCAAATTGTTTAATAAATTATAAAACAACTAAATACAGTATTATTGTTTTTAGCTAATTCAAAGTTGTTTTTTTAACAGTTGTAACTACCTACTTTGAACCCCTTGTTTCTGGAAACAAAATGATCTCCCCGCTAGCATATAGAATGACTACTCAGAATAAACCTTATGTTACAATTTCTTTGAGCTTTGATTATTTTTTAACACACATAACCCCAGCAGGTCAGGGATCATGCTGTAAAGAACAAATTAGTTTGTTACTTACACAGTTGTTTGATTTGAGATTTCTATTAATACTTTGACTCTCCTATATCTAGTATAGAAATGCAGAGAAATACAAACAAATATGGGAGACTCTTAGGCAGCAAAATTCCTCCTCCTCTCAGAAGAGGCAGGAACCTTCTAGAGGAAACCTTGGAGAAGGTCCTCTCTCATTCCTCCCTTGAGAGACTGGAGTCAGAGTCTCCTCACTTTGGAATAGAGAGATTGGAGAACACCTCTAGGACAGAGCTACATGGGTGGTTTGTGCCCTAAGCACCCTTTCTCCAGGGAAATCCTGAGCTCCACAGGGACACCCCACCACCTATGGATGACCCACTTTGCACCCTGCTCCCTAATGTTCCACACAACATTTACAGGCTTCTGAGTTGTTACTTGGAATTGGCTGACTCTAGGGGTCCTGGGCTCTAACTTGCTTTCTCCCCAACTCTGCTGCAGCCCCAGGGACCCTGGTCACACTGGAGAGAAGCTGAGATTCTGCGGGGAACGGGGAGCATGCTCCTTGCCCACTGGGGCTGCTCCCTGGCAGATGCCCTAAACCACTGAGATTTGGGGACAGCTATGATGCTAAGTGTTTGGGGACTGTGATAGATGACGCTGCCTTGGGGTGAGCTCTGTGACTGTCCCTGATTTCTGACTGTGAATCCTGCAGGGACAAGGACAGAAGACAAGGCTTCTTCCCTATTCCCAGTGGAGAGGGGCACGCCCTTGTCTCATGACACTCCTCCATGTCCTGAAGAACCAAGTCGAGCCCATCAGAGAATAAAATCTCCTTTGCTGAGAATACTGACACATTTTCCATCCTGAACAGAAGCAGGGCTCTGCAGCTCCCACAGAAGTTT